AAATAAATACAAAGATGTTATTTTTAATGGAAAAAGTTATTTAAGTGCAACAACAAATTTTTGAGGGTTGAAATAAATGCTACACAAATAGATAAAATAGTGAAAAACTTACCATCTATACAAAAAAACTTGTTGCAAGGAAAAAAACTCATAACGTATCATTTCTTGTCGTCAGCCATGACACCCGGGCGAATAAGAGGAGTGCGTTCACATTTTGACAGGTTAGTAAAAGCCGCTCGGGTAACGTGGTGTCATGGTCAGTCGCGTGCTTGAGACCGCCAAATTCGAATTATGTTGCCTATGTCATTTTGTACATATATGTCATTTTGTACATATTTCCCCTACATAAACAATGTACCAGTACTGTACATATTCATGCAGTATTGAAAAGATCACTAATATTTATCCAGTTGCAAGGAAAAACATTGATCTCATTGAATTACTTGTTGAGTTTTGTGAAATGTTTGAATGAAAGTACATTTGTTAGAGACGTAAGTGCAGTTGAACAGAGATATTTTTGTACACCAAAAAATATCCACAAATCTTGAAAAACTAAAATAATTGTTCTTAGTCATCAAAATTTTTCTTAATATCAGCTACATCATATATTGAAATAGCACAGGATTCTTCCTGTGCTATCTGACTACTAATAAGGAGACAGTCAGATGTTTCTGTTTCTGTTTGAATGAAACTTGGTGAGCATGTAGCCCTAAACACAAACAGTTTCTTGTCCAAGTAATAGGACCCACTTCTCAAGCATTTCCAGAAAAACAGGTCTCTGAAAATTGAGTGTTTAGGTTATAAGTTCTACCTATCCTAGGAATAGCAATAGCAAAGTTGATAAAATTCTAGATGCTGGAACTACATGATATAGATTTGATCCTTTGTGACTTTAGTTTTTTTTTTAATGTATAACGTAGTTATTAATATTTTATTATTTTACTGCATCATTAGTTTTACTATTACTATTACTATTCCTGATGTTTGAAGCTTATAAAACAAGAAATTAAAAACTATGACATCATTTCCTGTTTAGCAAAAATGTGCCTCCATAGATTTAACTCTTTTACATTGTTAAATAAGACTTTTATTTCTGTGTGTTTATTTTTCACATATTTTACATACTATGTCCTCACAAGCAAATAAAGCTTTTGAGGACATAGTATACTGCACATGGGTGAAAAGACAAGTGATATGAAAATAGGGTAGCATTTTATTTGTTTTTAATTGTTAATATTATGGACAATGTCCTCATGTGCTCATGTTTGTTACATTTCAAATGTCACAATACCACCATATCTGAAAATAAATATGAAGAAAATTTTATTTAATAGCATAAAAGTTAAATCTACAGAGGCTTGTTTTCGGTAAACAGAAAATGACATCACAATTCTTAATCTCTTGTTTTATAAGTTTTAAATGTGAGGATTAATAATAGTAGTAATAATGCTAATGATGTGGGAAAATAAAATAATAATGTTACACATTAAAAAAAAAACTAAATTAAAATGCCGAAGGTTTGAACCTATATTGTCTAGCTGCAGTGCCTAGCATCTTATTCACTTGACTTTGCTGCTCTCGGATGTGACACTTCCAGACATAAACTAAATACTAAATTTTTAGAGGCCCACTTATTGGAAATGCTTGAAAAATGGGCCCTATTTTTTAGATGAGGTGAGCATGTAGCCTTAAACACAAACAGCATTTGTGTTTAAGGCTACATGCTCACCAAGTTTCATTCAAATTGAGGACTTAAACATCTAGTCCTCTCTTTGTGAGTGACAGTTTAACATGGTACCCTTTCTTTCCAGATGCCAAACTGATAAGACTACCAGGGTAAGATTGCAGATGTGGATGACGTTGTTGGATTCTTAACAGAGCTTTAGAGCATGCCCATAGGAGAAAAAAGTTAAAAGAACCATACCTCTAACCATGAGATATATCCTCAAAATTAGCGTAAAGCCTACTTCCAGGTGTTATAGGGAGTCATGCTGCATGCTCCATTAAGCCCTATTGTGTTTAATAATCAGTACAGCACAGTGATTGGACACTCTAACAATATTTATTGGTAAAAAATAAAGAAAAGTCTGACACCTGATCCTTTGCAAGATATTTGCTTTCAAATGTAGAACTCAACAGTGGCAGTTGTCATCTTGCTTGCAGATGTCATGCTTGCAAGCAAATTATGTTATAGGCACAGTGATCAGTGCCTATAGCAAATAATAAATGTATTAACTTCTACTAACTGAAAACAGTTTTTCTTGTGTACCAGTACTGCTGCCTATTCTCCATGCTCTGTGCTTTCAAGACTCACTATTGCTCACCTTGACTGATGCTTCAAATGTAATTATGTGCTTTGGTGCTTGCTATTGCTTGCTCCTCAGTGTCCAGCAAGTCCCCACATCCCTCTAAAACTATATAACATCAAATACTTCACGAACAGTCAAGTCAGTTACTCGAAGCCAGCATAGTCACATGGGATAAATAGTTAAACACAATAGTCTTAGCAGAGTGCATGGCACAACTCGTGATTGTGTGCAGCTGATTTTGAGGGCTATATATCATAAACAGTCACATTTAGAGGTATGGTTCCTTTGATTTTTTTTCCTATGGGCATGCTCTACAGCTTTGTTAAGGTCTTAACAGTGTCATTCACATCTGCATCTGCATTAATTAGTAAGTAAAACTGATGGCAATAAATAATTTGAAGTGGCAAAAGAAATTTAAACCTGGAAAAATGTGGTGATATTTTTGAATTTTCCAAAGCAACTCCTGCTGATTGTTCATTGAAATAGAATAAAGAGTATAAGTTTGATAATCATAACAGGCAGTTTGGCTAATACAGTAAACTCTCATTAATTTGAACTCGTATCATTCGAATTTCCTCTTAATTCGAACTGGGTGCTAGTCCCCATCTGATTCCTATTTAAATCAGTGTAAATGTCTCTTGGTAATTAGAACTCAGTTGTGCCACCTCCTGTTTATTTTGAACAGGAGCACATGTAAGTAGATTGACATCATCATCCCATTTTTTGACATTTTAAGATTGAATTTAAATTAATTTATTAATTTTAAAAAGTTAAATTTAAAAATAAATTAATAAACGAAAATTAAATCAATTAAAATTTAAAAACATATCAAAGGGCAACTGTAAACCATTATAATCGTGCATCAACTGATTTCAAATCAGTTGATGCACGATTATAATGGTTTACAGTTGCCCTTTGATGCTTTCTCATCATGACTTCTAATGTAATAGGGTTACTTTACTTTTCTTAGGACTTTTAGAGCTACTGAACTTTTGTTTTAGTATTTCTCATTGAGTAAACATTATTCCGTTTGCTGTGTGACGTTAAAAATTTTTTTGTTTTTGTTCTGTAGCATCCAGAAATGATCTCTTTTTAATTCAGACTGTTTAAGGCATCTCTCTAAGTTTGAATTAATGAGAGTCTATTGTATTTGTTAAGTACAGTAATTTTCAAAATTAAGATAACAAACATTTTTAAATTTGAAATGTATGTGTTTTCATTAAGTTATATATATTGACAAAAAAAATTTATAGTAATACAAAGCTATTAATACAGGTTTATTAATATTTAAATTTATACAGAATAAATAAAATAAATGGGTGAATTTTCAGTGGTTCATCTATGTAATTTAAAATTTGATAGATTCTTTGCCCATTAAATTTAAAAATTAGTGATTATAAGTTATATGTAAACATTAAAAATAAAATTAATAGCTTTATTATATTATTTAAAATTTTGTAAAATCAATTTTTTTTTGTTTAGGTGAATAAGATAAGTAACAATCAAGATAATAAAGCAAATAATGCACCTCCTCCAACACAACTGACCAAAATAAAGTTTACTGGTCCTCCTCATATCAAGCGAGATAAAAGGCAAAATTCATCAAGATTTAATGTTAGCAAAAATAGAGAATTACAAAAACTTCCTCTTATTAAAGGTAAGAGAATATTTTTAGATTCTATAATAATCAATGTGTATAATCTGTATACTGTTAAAAGTCCGAGATTGTTTGGTTGGCTATAATTAAATACAGAAGAAAATATGCAAAATACTGCTACATTTTTAAGAATTCTCTACCCCAAATGAAAATAGAAACAAAATATAACAAGTTCTGTTAAATTTGGGCAACAGATTATTGTGTTATTGCCATGTTTTCTGCCGACAATGTCACTTTTTAAAATTGCTGATTACTGTCTTATAATTGGGATGCAATTTGAAAAAATTGTAGACCTATAAATTTCCATTTAATATATCTCAAAAACTGGGTTTGTATAAATATATCACTCATAAAGCCAACACCAGCACCTATCAAGAAAAAAGGAAAGACAAAAACATTTGTAAATTTTTCCTTTTTTCTTGATAGGTGCTGGTGTTGGTTTTATGAGTGATATATCCATAAATTTCCACTGTTGTCTGTGTGTTCTTTCTTAATCTTGAGAGCAGTGTTAGATAGATGAAAGTCAAGACCAGATGTGGAAAGCTTAGGGGCAGGAGGTTCTGATTAACTACATACAAACTTCCGGTCTAGACTGGAAGTCATGTGAATTCAATTCAAAAATTTTTCCCTGAATAGTGTTACATAGATGACTAGCATGACTCTATTGCTAACAGGAAAGTATGATGTATGAGACAAGAGGGACTAATTTGAGATGTAGAACATATATTTTAAATTAAATAAATTAAGAATATGATTAAAAATTGCAGCCCAACATTGTGACAATGTCACAATAAATAATTGCTTATTATATGTAAACTGTCCAGTAGGTTAATTTTGGTGCAATACTGAACTTAACTTGCATTCTCTATAAACTTCCAAATACTAGGCAACCCAATGGGTCATGGATAGTGTAGTAGGTAACTATAAATTTGGTTATAACTTAGATAGATAATGTGAATTTTAATTATTTAAAATTTATTATTTATTTATATCAAATAGAATGGCTATCTGTTTGACTTCTACATACTTCTAAACCCTTATGCATCCATATTCTACTGACCTTCCTTGGAAAAAATATAGAAATGAAATGTCAATTGCATTTGAATAGAACAAAAATTTTTAAAACATTCTAGAATAAATATTTCAAATGTTGATAGTCGGATCTTTGAAGATACAAATAAATGAAAATTTAAAAAAATAAAAAAAACAAATAATAATAATGGAGGGTAACACTTGTGCTCTAATGTGCATGCTATGAGTTCATATAGTGTCANAACAAGGATGACAAACAATTAATGTTTACTTTGGCAATCTAAAAGCTTCCTAAAACATAGGAATTAGAAAATTAGAAAAATAATTAGAAAAATAACAATAATAATAATTAAAATTGTTGCTTATTCAAATAAACGATTTCATTCAAAAAGAGAAATCCAGGATATTTTCCTAAATTTAAAAATTCTGCTTGGATGCTAAATCAAAGCACTAAAAAAATACAACTTGGAGAAAGTAAAGATGACATTTAGTACTGTCATAAAGTATAAAAAAAATTAGATAAATTTTTATTTTTACAAAATAATTTTTTCAAAAATTCAAAATAGTTATATAAATTATAAGTTGTTTACATATAATATTAACTATATGTAGTTATATAAATGAAGAGAATAAATTTCAGAATTTTTTTGTTAAAAGTATTCAAGGGGCAAGTTAAATAGAAATTGAATGTTCTTATATTATTTTGAATTTTGCTACTTTTTATTGTGGTTTTGAAAATTGTTGAAAACATCCTTATAATTTGACTCATTTTAATTCATACTTTCATTTTTGTGATTAATCAATATCAGTAAGCAGACTTGTGATATTTTGATAATGCTGGGTCAGAAATTTAGGCATGATCATTTAGCTAGTCTGACTTTTATAAACCAATTCTGTTGTAGCTTTTGAGCTTTGAGTATAATAAAGTATTTTGAAATTTACAACGAAAACTGTCAAAATTAATTTGTTGAATGTCTTGAATGGATATTTTATCACTTTGCTTATTTGATAAATTCTTTACTTAATGAGGGCATATCTATCAAACTGAAGTATAAAATTTCTGCTATATCATTTATAATGGTATTTTAACAGATTAATAATATATTATAGGTTGTGTTTCTGTAATATTTTATATGTATGTAGTATACATATATATTTAGCAGAATTAATGATCAATTTGCTGGTCATAGATCAAAGATCCTTTGTTTTCTCAATGCTGACAATTACCTGTATGTCATAAGGTTTACATAACTTTTGTAATCAAGAGATGAATATTTGATATACTCTAAACTTTGTTTTCTTGTTAATAAGACAAACTGATTATTTTTTATGACACCCAGTTTCTATTAATATATCTCCAGTAAAATCATCCACAACTTATGTTAATTATGCATTTCCGAGATATTTCGAATAGGTTATATTGCTTTCATCGTAGAACTGCGTAAAATGAATAATTTTATTCAGCAACGAGAGCAGATAACGCATTAATGTATTCGAAAGCATGTTACAAATAACGCTGAGATCATGCAACCTGGCATAAAGAATCACGGACTAAACTTTGTGTATCAGTCGGAATGTTTTCTAGTCGCCGTGTTATTCAGTGTCCAGAAGCAGCATACTTATATTCAAAGTGCGTAAGAAATAAGAAAATTAATATTTCTCAACACCGGTGTACTGTTTTTTTGAATAAAGAGCTGGGAGACGAGTTTCAAAGTCTCGAAGGTTGTAGCTAATTGTAGCTTTTTATGCGAGTTTGAATAGTCAAAATTGAAATAATTTTCGTCTGTTAGATGCCGTACCTGCCGAAAGGGAGGATTTATTCATTCAGAAGATTCGACAGTGTTGTGTTTTGTTCGACTTTGTCATTGACCCATTGAGCGATCTAAAATGGAAGGAAGTGAAGAGGGCGGCGCTACACGAAATGGTGGAATACGTCACCACACAGAGGGGGGTCATTACGGAAGCTATTTATCCGGAAATAGTTTACATGGTAAGTTGTTTTTTTTATTCAGTTTACTTCCGGTTTACTCGAGACCGGTTTGAATGATTATTTTAGTGATTACGATGTAAGTAAACAATGTATCGAATCTTGTGACGTAATTAAAATGGGGTAAAAATAATTAAACAGCTTAACTCATTGTTATAATATTAACTAGAGAGTAGAATAATAATTTAAGATATATAAAATGGCCATTTGATCAGTTATATTTGGATAAACGAAGGTGTATTAAAAATATATTATGTATATAATATACAAAAATTTTCTTACAAAATTGCTGTTAAAATAATTTTAGATACACTCACATAGTAGTTTTAATCCGTTGAAAAGGGCGTATTTGTTTTAACCTTACCGTAGAAAATTACAACGAGAATTATATATAAAAAGTAAATTTTATAATATGAATGTAGCATATTCAACAATAAGTATAATAAATAAAAAATTAAAATTTAATATATTAAAATAATTGAATCGTTAATTAATTACGAGCATAATTATATTCGCACTAATTTAAAATATTTTCAAAAAGAAGTTATTCGTTACATCTGTAGAAAACAAGAGAAGTTGTAATAAAAATTTGATTCAAAGAACATTTGTAAACCGGAGATTGCTTCAACAAAACCGAATTGTTTCCTCCTCTCTGTGAACATCTAACAATTTGGGAATTCCAATCTTTCGTATAAGTGCTTTTTGGTAGTCGTATTAAGATTTGTATTTGTTGAGACGAGGTATTATGGCACGATAGTTAAACAAAAATAAAATTATTATGAAAATTTTTTTATCAGGGACCATTCAAATATTACGTCAGTAATTTATGGGGGAAGAGGATTCGTTTGTATCTGACGATGTGGTATGCGTATTTGATGACGTAAGATTTCAGCTGTCATTTATTTTTCGCCCCAGTCATCACAAAATTTATTGGGTGATTGCAATATTATTTCAAAATTTCTTTTAAGTTATATATCACGTGTGCTTCATATTCCGACAATAATTTATATTTTTTGTGTCATGATCTAGAAACTAAATTTTCCGAAAAATTCACTATTATTATACGATTTATTATAATTTAACTTTAAATATTTAATAAATAATTGTATCAATAGTTTCTTAAATTTATTTATGGTTTAATATGGATGGAACATCAGTTGGGTGCTTAGTAGATGGTAAAACGGTAAAACATTAATCCTGGATAGAGAGAGATCCTTCATTCCAAAGTGCTTTTAAGAAACACGCTGTCCATAAAACATCGTGTGGAATGATTTGAAGAAAGCTGTTCCATACCTGGAGGCCAAAGCACTGTGTAAAATTCAAGAATTGGAAGTCCTGATTGCTATGTATTAGCAAATAGTTTTAACTTCTGGCCCAATGACAATTAGGGACGGAATGCCTTGATTTCATCATGACTGGTGGTGATGGGGAGGGGCCATTCAGTAGCCAAGTAGATTCAACCACTGAATACTACTAGTTGGGCGAGAATTCGCACCTGACCAACGTGACGTTTTCCGGATTTTATTACGTGTCTAATAGTTTTCTACAGAAAGTGCTCCCTGGAAGAATTCCCCTTGGCAGATCTCCCGTATGTCGCTTTATCGCTTCCTATCAAACTACCGAAATCGATGGAGGAAGGAAAATCAAAAGTGATATAATACTCGAACTGTTCGTTTTAATTAATGAGCGCTCTGGGTTTAGCAGACATGATTATGGAATGGGGATCAACATTCTTCATTTAATGTAAAAAAAAATCTCATAGGTCTTGATTTTTCTCGGCAGTTGGAGAACGTCAAAGCGTGTAATCTGTAAGAGCATTTTTACGTTCGTATGACTTAGGTCAGTGTTCCGCACATACCGGCGACTTTCCGGTTTTTACACAGAAATTTGGTACAAATCGAACTTATTTTAAGTATATTTAGTTCACGTTATTCAATATCTAGCGTAGCATGAGGGGTATCAAGATTGTCAACTAGTTTGTGCTCCAAGTAGCCAATGTTTTAACCGAATCCAGTCCAACCCTCGACAGGGTTGCTACAGGGTACATGTAAGAAATTTCGTTTTCATGATTTCATGGCGTTTGCGGTCTTAGGTGGGACTATGCAGACGCGATTGTAGTTGCGAGTTATTGTATAGTTCTCGCAAAGAAAACCATGCACAAGCGAGAAATCTCGCTGGCAAGAGAGAATTTCTGGCTCTCGCATATATCTGACAGGATTTGATATTTATCGCGACTAGCTTCTCACTGAATACTGCGCATGCGCTTTAGCACGAGTAGATGATGGTTTCTCATCTACTGTATATATAAAAATATATATATTTTTTTCAGATTATAGATATACGTAAAGTCCGTTTTATTATCAAATTATAATAAAGTTCTTTATCCTTTCGCTGTTTCCAGAGGAGAGGAACACCGTATTTTCGTTTTCTTTTGTGTGTTCATTATAAAGTAATCCTAATAACAAAAGTTTTTTTTGGCTAGTAGTAAGCATCGTAGTCGAACCATTTTGATATTTACGTCCATACAGTGCAGTAATTCATGCTTCCCTGTGACGAGTTCGACGGAAGCGCGTGACGTCATCATCTCCACATCATTTTCTCCCGTTCGCTCACGTCGGTGTAGTCGCGCTTTACTTAACGAGAGCGAGAAACATCGCCACATATTCTCGCTCGCTCGCACATCGCTTGGCAAATTCACTCGCGTCTGAAAAGTCGTACCCATAACGGGGGGGGGCGATTTCTTCGCACGTGTTATCCCCCCGTTATGGGTACGACTTTGAGGCTTATTTATTTAACAAATTTTTAAATTGTATTTAAACTTATTATTATTATTTGTGTAACGTTAGTAGAAAGTTAAAAATAATTTGTTTTTAGTTTTCTGTAAACATTTTCCGAACTCTGCCACCTTCTTCTAATCCAAACGGTGCAGAATTTGATCCTGAAGAAGATGAACCAACTTTAGAAGCTGCATGGCCCCATCTTCAGGTAAAAAATTGCTAATTTCATTGTCTTAAAATTGGTGAGTTCCTTAATTAATTACAAATGAATAAAAATTACAGCTAGTATACGAACTTTTCCTTCGTTTTTTGGAGTCTCCAGATTTTCAGCCCAATGTAGCTAAACGTAGCATTGATCAGAAATTTGTATTACAGGTAAAACATTTTTTTCTTCCTTCTTTCTATGGTAAATTATTAATTTTGATGTGTTTTTTTTTGGTTTGAACGAAATTAAGACTTTTAGAATGGTGCAATGGCTATTTTTGAGTCAAGTTGCAACTTTATGACATAAAACACATCATAAGGTTGTCAAGTGACTCATCAGTGAACCACTCGCATGAAAGTAAACATAATATGTCTTTGATTTTGCATTTTATGTCAATTTTTTGCTTCACATCAACATATATAAATCATTTCTTTATTTTATTGCGTCTACTGAACGAAATTGTAAGTGGCATAGGAATGGAAAGAGGGTCAGAATGATGTGAGTGTTTTCATTCTGGGTGGCGCAGAAGTGGGCATAACATTGTTTTAGAAGGGCAGGTGTTATCTGCACATTTTATAGAGAACTTGCATGAATGTCATCTTTTGACCAAATCGTCATCACACTGCCTCCTGCTCCATGTTTGTGCCATGCTATTCATTGAGGTGTATATATTGTAATTTGGCTTAGGTCTGAACATTTTTCACATTTAGAAGTTGACAAAACATGCATTTTACTTTCCTGGCTCTGTTATATATATCAGAGGGAAACTGGGAACATTTTTACATTTATTTGAACCTTTTGTTTGAATGTCAACAAGCTGACAGTAATGTGTATGTGTGTTGAGTTTTTGATGTGATGTTTATATTAGATGGAGCTGGCTAGGATTAAAAAAAAAAATACTTGCATATATACGGTAACTTTTTTCATTTTTTTGTAAACATAGATTGCCTTGTCATAAGTGAAGAACTCAACGTATAAAATGTGCTCGTATTGAATACATAAATTTGTAATTACAACAGAAATTTGCACTTTTCGATATAATAAATTTCATAAAAATTTAGGCAATCTCCCCCATTTTTGATGCTTGCTCATTAGGAGTAAAATAAAAAATTTTTAAAAATGCATTAAAATATTAATATTTTTATAATGATGTAATAAAAAAATATATGTATAATTTAGTAAAAAAACCACAAAGATCTATATTTTTTCTTTCTACAATTTAGTATATATGTATATATATATATATACATATACTATAATAAGATGATGATTATTACCAGTTTGTTTAGTCAATTGCTGATTTATTTTGCCAGTGATACCCCACATGGTGAAATTTGCACTACGTAACAGAAACCCTACATTTATATGAAATGTTGTTATACTTAAATTTTTGTTATTAATTTATTTTGAAATTTAAAATAGTTATGTTATGTCATCAATCTTAAAATTAGAATTGACGATAGATTTTTTTTTTTTTGTTTTTTTACTGACTAGGATTTGGAGCAAGAATAAAGTTAAATGAGCAATGAAACTGTTTTAGTGTTTCGGCAGTTTATTTTCTATTTATGATTCAATAATTTGTAGTAAAACATCACCAGAAATTTTTGGTATGATTGTATGATATGTACTGGTACCTCAGTACTCAAACTTAATTAATTTGTTTTTGAAGGATGCTTGAGCGCTAATCTCTTTGGGTACCGAATGAATATTTCCCATAAGGAATTATGTAAATTAGATTAAATTTGAACCCCAAAAATTACACTTATAAAAGCATTTTAACTACGATTTAACACAAATTTAATGAGAAGTTTACAAGCATGCCTTGCATAAATCATTAAAAAAACCTAAACACATAAATAGATTAAATAAATATAAATTTATTTTTATTTTACCTGTAACCAGTGCCAGATTAACCCACTTTGGGGCCCTAGACATTTTCTTATTGCCAGGCCCCCTCCCTCTCCCACAAGAAATAGAGCACATAAAAAATATAAAACAACAAATAAAACAAAATTAAATAATGTGAAAAATTAAAACAAATCTTAAATTTTTATTAATAAAAATATTTAATATACAACAACAAATTTTAGTTTTTCAAAATAGACAGTTTGACTGGGCCTTTCTAAAAACTGGGCCCCAGACATTTGTCTCATTTGTCTATGCGATGATCTGGTCCTGCATGTAACTTTGGACAGTTGATGGCATATTTTGAAGGTGGTGAGGAAGAGAGAGATTATTGTTTGGAAGATTTACACATTTCTTTTTTTTCGGCTGTAAATACTTGTATGCAATATTTTTGATTGAAATTAGATATTTTTTAAAACTTAAAATAGACGGATACATATTGAGTAATATGCAGTTGTGTAATAAAATTTGAATTGATGAAGAATCTGAAGAAAAATAAATTTTTAGTAATTGCTTCTGTAGATTTATCTTGTTTCAGGTAATAAAGTTAAGACAGTAATGAAACTTTTTTAATGATATTCTTCTGGTGGTTTATTTTTGCTTAAAATTTTTTGAGGGATCATCTGCCAAAGTTTTATAAGCATTTTCTGCATACAGTTATAATGAAAAGTTATTATTTGCATTTTTCATTTAATGTTTTTATATTTAGCTTTTAGAACTGTTTGACAGTGAAGATCCAAGAGAAAGAGATTTTCTGAAGACTACTTTACACAGGATATATGGGAAATTTCTTGGACTTAGAGCATATATTAGAAAACAAATAAATAATATATTCTATAGGTAAGCAAAAATAATATATTATTCACTCTGTGTTTTTAGGTTTCTGATAACTTATCTTAATTTAACAAAATATATAAAATATTTTGAACAACACATTAATTTAACATTCCAGAAACTATATTATTTTTATATTTTATTATTAACCAGACATTTAAGTTGAATATTTAAAATTGTTTTATTATTGCATTTTGAAATAGTTTGTTTGAATTTGTTGTAATCAGAAGAAGCCTTACATACGAGGGCTGTTCGGAAAGGTCGCAGCCTCACATAGAAAAACAAACAAAATAATGTTAAAACTTTTTTTATTTTTCAATGTAATCTCCTCTGTTAGCAATGCACTTATTCCAGCGATGTTCTAGCTTTTTTATGCCATCACAATAGGTCGATTTGTCAAGGTGTGCAAAATACTCGTTCACTTCAGAGATGACTTCGTCATTTGAGTGGAATCTCTTTCCAGCCAAGAATTTTTTTAGGTTTGGAAAAAGGTGGAAGTCACTGGGGGCCAAATCAGGTGAGTACGGTGGATGTGGAACTAATTGGAAGCGAAGTT